CATATTAAACATTTACTTAACAAGGTAAATATTTAATTTAACAACTTAAACATTTACTTAACAAGGTAAATATTTAATTTAACAACTTAAACATTTACTTAAGGTAAATACAGTATTTAGCTTGCTAACTAAATGTTTAATTTGTAAAGTAAATATTTAATTTGGAATTATGACATTTATAAATGGATGAATAACATGGTGAAAATCTGAATCTTTTTTCTTATGGAAGGCTAAATAAAGCAAAATATTAAAACCAAAATCATGGAAAATAGATTCAAATTTGACGGTTATCATCACAAACCTGTCAGACACACCCACCCAGTAGGAGCAGGAGGCAGCWGTCTCCTTCAAGGAGACCACAACATAGTAGTATTGTGGGAAATTGAACTTGTGTCTGTTTGATCTCAAGCTGACGGCCTTACCACTGCACCACAGGAACATTTGGTCAAAGCTTGAAATGAACGTTTTGCTTAATCCAATATGTCCCACTCAGAGTCGGTGTTGTGAAGGATTTTCAGTCAAATTCAGTAGCTGTAAAACCTAACTTTTAATCTTTTCTAAGGTTAAATTGTATTTATTGTATTGGTGCTGATTGTATCTGTTTAATTGTGTGGTTTAATTGTGTTTTAAATTGAGTTTTTAATCTATCGTATGTCACTCTATTTTTGTTTCTTTTATCTTATTYATTTCAGATGTTCAGCACGTTGTTTCATCTGTGGCTGCTGTTAAAGCACTTTATAAAGTTTGATGGTTGATGAGGATGAAATGGCTGGGGTGGCCATCTTGAATTATGATTCCAAAAATTAATCAGTTGTTGGTGTTYATCCATTTATTGTTTCCTGAACTTGTCATTGAATCTGTGTAGTGGTTCTTCAGTAGATATTTTGCTAACAGACAGACACACAGATTGTCCTCATCTTTCAGTGATGATAAACAATGATAACTGCATGTGACCTTCAAACCCCAGTAGTTTTTAGATGTGACCCACCTGAAGCTCAACAGAAGAGGCTCAGATTTGATGTGTGGTTCTGTTTTAGTACTCGATGTAGAATTTTAAAAACTATATTTTTTATTTATGTACGTACCCCTGGTGGTTCCTCAGKAATGTAACGGCACATGCTCCTTTTGTTGTTTTTAGTTCCTTCATATTCTGATTAGAATTAAATAGTTTTAAAGTGTTAAACAGTTGTGGGTTTGTTGGATTCTGAAGTCTGGTGTGCTAGTAGCACAAGGTCACACAACATAAAGGGATTTTCATGGTTTGACTGAAAACACTACAGCTCCATTGTTTCCATCATACAATAAACTGAGTTAAAATGTTGGTTTGAAAAGTGTTGGTTTGTATCCTGCTAGGCCTTTAATTATGACTAACTTCACATCCACCTCCCTTCAGAATTTCTGTTTTATTCTTAAAAGTTTTTTGTTAAGAAGCTTTTTATGTTTTTTTTTTTCCAGTGTACAGATCTGTGGACCATGAGGTTGTGGCTTCAACACACAGGATCTCCTAACCCTAACCAACAACAGGGGATTTTATTGGACTTGTTTAGTGTCTGGTGATCCTCCCCCCCTCAGCTCGTTTCTTCCAATCAGGATGATGCCAAAGCAGTTAATCCACACAGACAAAGATTAGAGAGGCAGGATTTACACAGACTATGGGCTCCTGCTCAAATTCACCAAACAAACACCAATAAAAAAGATGGAAACATCCAGGACAGTTCATAAAGTATGAAGTCATCAAATCTGGAACCATGTTTTATTTATTTATTTTTTCTTTTTATACAATTTGGGATCTTAAATGARCAAACTGCTGAGGACACCCCTGATGATATTTAAGATTATAGTGGAYTATTACATATCAGATGTATACGTATCGTTACAGCACATTAATATTCAAATACTGAAATAAAGAAAAAAATCTTACTTTCTCCAACAATAGCTTTTAATCCGAGTAGAGGCATCCTGAGACCTGCAGCCCGTTTCCCTCCCAGCAGCTCCAACTGCTGCACAGATTATTGGGATTAGAAAATAAAACGTTTCCGTTTCAGTTTGCTTCAAAGTAAAAGCTTGGAACTTCAACTAGAAATAGAAACCTTTTTTTTAGAAAATAGTTCAGTAAAACAGATATACATAAGATTTTAAATCCTAATAGAAAAACTGCATTTGGTGCAAAAACACTGCAGTTATTTAATGCTGAATGATTATTAAAACCTGTAGAACAAAATACAAATGAAGTTGTTAAAGGTAAAATCAGTAGAACAAAAGCTAAAATACAGTATAACCTAAAGTTAAAAGTAGCAAATGGAAACCATAAGAGAACAATGTGTTTTAGAAGGACATAATATATTCCACAAGAAAAATTTGTCAGTAAAGTTAAACCAAATAAATAAATAAATAAATA